CAATAGCTGGTGTTTGATAGATGCTTTGCAGGCTACAGAATAATTTGCCGTCAGAGTTTTCCTCGAATTTTAACACGGGGGCCCCTGCTTTCCCAGGACTAACAAGGGAAGGGATTACACGAGGAAAAGGGGGATGTTCAGAAGCACAGACAATCAGAAAGACCTTTATCTGCGTGTCCAGAAGACAGCAGGACAGGTACATAAAGGTGGTTAAGAAGACTCAGAGGATACTTACCCTGACTAGCCAAGGCTTTGAGAGCAGCAATTAAGGCAGACAGTGTCCCTCACTTTATGAACAGGGGTGTAGAGCACAAGAGCAAGGATATGAAGTTGAACTTGCACAAAACACCCCTTTCAGCTGGAGAGCTGTGTACAGTCGAGGGAGACACATTATCGGAAAAATGTGAACGCGTTGGTGTTGGGGGGTGGGGAAGAGAGAGAAAGAGCGATTTGCGAGAGATGAGAAACTCCAGCGAGGAGGAGAGATTGAAGGAGTTGAGGGGGTAGATGTTCCCCTCGGAGAACTGGGAGGGGGATCTGATAGAAGTTTCCGAAATAGCGGGGGCCTGGAGAGAGCAGACAGGGGAGGGGCTGTTCCCCTGTGAAAGGAGCAAGAACCAGAGTGGGCGAAGATTTAAAGTGATATGTAAAAGGGTGTGTACAGTGTGTAGAGTCACACAGCACGCAGTTAGGGTCTGGAATGCACTGCCTATAAAGGCAGACGGAGACAGGTAGAAATTCCCTTCCAAGCCACTCACCGTCCTGACTTGGAATTATATTGCCATTCGTTCATGGTCAAAATCCTGGAATTCCTTCCCTGATGGCATTTTGGGTATGCATGCGGAGTGCAGCGGTTCGAGAAGGGCAGCTCACTGCCACCTTCTCAAGGGGGTAACTAGGGACGGGCAATAAATGCTGGGCCCATATCCAGTGACAATATTGACAAGAATTGAGAGACCTTTCCCAGGAGAGGAAATGCTCACTTTAGCCAAGGGGATGCGTGCAGCACCGGCTATTACCACCTGGTGGCAGTGCCACCCTGCCGTACCCTTCCCTTCCTCTTCCAATCTCACCTCTCGCTGGGCATTCACCAAATCCCCTGACCTTCTCCTTTGTTGCTGACACATGCACGCCCACCCACACCCCCTCCACACAGCCCCTCCCCACCTCCTCCTCTCCCTCTGCCTCTCTCATCTGCGCCCATTTGGGACTGGCCTATGCCACATCTCCCATCTTTGTTACCCATCTCATCGTTTGCCCCAGCCACCCCCCAAGATTTAGTGCAGCTCGCTTCTATCCTCCTTCCAAAACTCCACAAGTAGGACCATCCTGGAAGACCCCATTTCTTCAATCCGTTCCTAACCCGATCAACCTCCTAAATTTGGCCTGATTAAGTTATGAGCCACAACAACAGAAGTTGCTGGAACAGCTCAGCGGGTCTGGCATCATCTGCGAAGGAGATGTTAACTGTGTTTTATCCTTCACAGACCTGCTAAGCTTTTCCAGCAACTTCTGTTTTTTGTTCCTGATTTACAGCATCCGCAGTACTTTTGGTTTTTATTAAGTTACGACAGTTGGGCTGTGAAATTGTGCATTTCTGAGGGAGGGTCCTGACCCAAAACATTAGCTTTCCTGCTCCTCTGATGCTGCCTGGCCTGCTATTCTCCTCCAGCTCCCACACTGTGTAATCTCTGACTCCAGCATCTGCAGTTCTTACAATCTCTGAGTGAGTTATAAACCCCACTATGAAGCCCCATTTCTGAGGAAGGGTCCTGACCCGAAACGTCAGCTTTCTCGCTCCCTCTGATGCTGCCTGGCCTGCTGTGTTCCTCCAGCTCCACACTGTGTTATCCCTGAATCCAGCATCTGCAGCTCTTATTATTTCATTGTGCAAATTAGGCCAGTTTTCTCGCGAATTTAGAAAGGGTCCAAGTCTTCCTGATACCCACTCGAAAGACAGAGGGGATGAAAGTAAGCCATGGCGAGGGGGAGGTGATGGCCTTGTGGTTTTATTGCAGGACCATTAATCCAGACATCCAGATAATCCCACAGATGGTGGGATTTGAATTCCATAAAATATCTGGAATTAAGAATCTAACGATGACTGTAAATCCATTGCTAATTGTCAGGAAAACCCATCTGGTTCACTATTGTCTTTAAGGGAAGTAAACTGCCATCCTTACCTGGTCTGGGCCTACATGTGACTCCAGACCCACAGCAACGTGGTCGACTCTTAACTGCCCTCTGGGCAATTTGGGATGGGCAATAAACGCTGCCTGGCCAGCGACGCCCTCATCGCTTGATTGAATAAAGGGGAAAAAAAAGTTTCCATTAGTTTGGGTTTGTAGAGGCTGAGATTTAGGGCTGGACCATTCAGGACAGACGTTGCAAAACAATTCTACACACAAAGGCTTGAAGCTCTCTTCCAAAATTGGGCAGTGGGCGCTGAATCGGTCATTCATTTTAAATTTGAGACCGACAAAGTTTTTGTTAAGCAAAGGGTTAGGGGCCATAGGCAGGGACATGGAGTGAGGTCACAGATCAGCCATGACCTTATTGAATAGTGAAACAGGTTTGAGGGGCTGAGTGGCCCACTCTTGTTCCACTGATCCACACCCACCTACCCACCACCCAAACTTACACTCACAGTCCTAAAACTTTATGCCGGTTCCAAATTTTCCACATTCTAGGCCCCAGCCACCTCCTCTTCCCCAACAGATCAGCAACACTTCGCCAAGGATTTTGACCCAGCGAAGAAAATGTATTTCCAGGTCAAGATGGTGAGTGGCTCAGAGGGGGAATATGCAAGGGTGGGTGGTTGGTGTTCCCATGTATCTGCTGCCCCTTGTCCTTCTAGATGGAAGTGGTCGTAGGTTTGGAAGGTGCTGTCTGAGGATCTTCGGTGAATTTCTGCAGTGCATCTTGTAGATTGAGGACTAAGGTGGGGGTGGCTCAGTGGTTGGCACTGCTGCCTCACGGCGCCAGGGGCCCAGGCTCGATTCCACCCTCGGGGCGACTGTATAGAGTTTGCACATTCTCCCTGTGTCTGCGTGGGTTTCCTCTGGGTGCTTCGGTTTCCTCCCACAGCCCAAAGATGTGCAGGTTAGGGTGGACTGGCCGTGCTAAATTGTATTGTTCCAATTGTCACCATCCTGCAGATAAGGGTGGGTTGGCCATACTAAATTGTCCCATAGTGCCCAGGTATGTGCGGGTTAGGGTGGATTGGCCATGCTAAATTGTCCCATAGTGCCCAGGGATGTGCAGGTTAGGGTGGATTGGCCGTGCTAAATTGTCCCATAGTGCCTAGGGATATGCAGGTTAGGGTGTATTAACTATGGTAAATGTGGGGTTACAGGGACTGTAGGGATTCTATGTCAGACCATATCACTTCCCACCAATGTACCCAATGACACGTCCTCCTTTTCTCTCACCCGAGGAATCTCTTTCCCTCCCTGCCCAGCCCGACCATGGCTGACAGTCCCCTACGATTCATCTCATCTCCCCCACACTTCTGCCCTCGCGCCCCTTTCCCCTCCCTCCCCTAACCACAAGAGAGTTCCTCTGCCACCGGGCACACGGTACCCCTTCCTCTCCACTGTCAGCATTCCGCATTCCGTAACCCTATCGCTCCCTGCTATGGGAAAGATGTGGTGAAACTTGAAAGGGTTCAGAAAAGATTTACAAGGAATATTGCCAGGGTTGGAGGAGGGAGAAGCTGAATAGGCTGGGGGCTATTTTCCCTGGAACGTCTGAGGCTGAGGGGGTGACCTTATGGAAGTTTATAAAATCATGAGGGTCATGGATAGGGTGAAGAGCCAAGGTCTTTTTCCCCTGGGGTGGGGGAGTCCAAAACTAGAGGGGTGTAGGGTTAAGAGGGGAAAGCTTTAAAGGGGTACCTTTTTAATGCAAGCTGTTTGTGAATATATGAGCTGCCAAAGGAAGTGGTGGAGGCTGGTACAATTAGTCTCCCCGCCTGGCATTTGGATGGTATTAGTATTACTTACCAGCTCAAGCCTGGATATTATCCAGAGCACCCACATCCCGAGCTACAGATCTACTCCAAAACATTATCCAGGTCTTTCTGCATTTGGATGTGGACTGCTTTAACATCAAAGGAGCCACGAATGGTGCGGAACATTGTGCAATGGTCTTTTTGTTTGTGTAATTCATTCCTTGAATGTAGATGTCAGCAGCTGGGACAGCATTTATTGCCTCTCCTTAATTGCCCAGAGCGCAGTTAAGAGGTGATCACACCGCTGAGGGTCTGGAGTCACGTAGACCAGCTTTCTCAATCTGGAAGCGGGGAGATTTTTTGTTCATTTACGTTACAGCAGGATATCGGTGGGGGTGATTGTTCGTACTTAGGTTTACTGCCATATAAGGCATGAGCTCATAGAGTAACAGGACAGGAGTGGCATGGTGGCTCAGTGGTTAGCACTGCTGCCTTGCAGCGCTAGGGACCTGGGTTCAATCCTACCCTTGGGTGACTGTCTGTGTGGAATTTGCACATTCTCCCTGTGTCTGTGTGGGCTTCCTTCTACAGTCCAAAGATGTGCAGGTTAGGGTGGAATGGCTGTGGGACATGTAGTAGGAGGGGGTGAGTCTGGATGGATGCCCTCCTTCAGAGGGTCAGGTTGGGCTGAATGGCCTGCTCCCTCACTGTAGGGATTCTATGACAGGCTTGAGGAGCTGAATGCCTTTTTCCTACATAACAGGCTCAAGGAGGGGGCTGAATGGCCTCCTGTTCCCCTGTAATAGGTTCAAGGAGGGAGGTGCTGAACTGCTATCCCCACATAACAGGCTTTAGAGGGATCGAATGGCTACTCATCTGTAGCAGACTCCAGGCGAGGGCTGAATGGGGGAGGTGGGGGGGGGGCGTCCTCCTGCTATTTGTGTAGAGCCTGCTGGAGTGGGGTAGGGAGGCTGAATGGCCTCGCTGACGCTCCCTATAACTACCTCCCGCTCCTAGTCAGACACAGCACAAGCACAAACCACCAATCTCAGAGAAGAAAACACTTTTTATTGCCTCACGTGTTGCTCTGTGGGACTTGCACAGTTCACGCAAGAACCGCTCGAACAAACTGGAGTCCAGGGACCAATCTGAGCAGCACTCTGCAGCTCCGATTCCCACCATCGGGTAGAGACACTGAGCCCGGGTTTACTCCAGCTCTGGCAGCTCGAAAGTTCCTGGACTGGAACCACAAGGCTCCCACAGCTTCGGAGCGAATTCCGAACGCAATCCTGAGCCACAACTCGCACAAAAGTGTTAAGGGAAGGCACTTCTTCACACAGACAGGATTCCGCAGCGGGGTTCCGTTAGAATAACCAGTGAACGCGTGTCAACGGGTAAACATAGAGTCGAGTATAAAATACGCGATTAAAGCTGTGAATTTACATTAGAGAGAAGGCACAGAGACAACTGGAATCCCTTTCAGCTGAACGAAATGATTCAAGGACCAGAATTAGGCGGGACGGCCAACAAACCCCTCCGTGTAATCTTGCATTCCATCAATAAACTCCACAACGCCTCCTCTTAGCCTGCGCAGCTATCGGTGCTTCAGATGCCCATGAGTCAGAATTTGTCAAATTAACCGCACCCGAGCCTCCCCCCCTCCACAAACCCCCAAAAACAAATTGCAAGACGTGTTAAGGCACGAGAAACGATAACACTTTCAAAAGGCAATTTCCCACTATATGTGAAGGCACTTTGAGGCATTCCCAGTGGCATACCAATTGATTTTGGCTCCCAGGACCTCCTCCCAGCCTTTCCCCACACCACCCCCCAGCCTTTCCCCACACCACCCCCCCAACCTCTTCCCAACCCCTGACATTTATCCATTCCGTGTTATGGGACAAGCTAGCCTGAGGGAATGGCTGCATCCCATTTGCTGCATACAAGAAGTGGGAAAAGATGTTTCAAATAAAGGGGGTGCTGTGTTGGTGAGGAGAGACTGGGGACAACGTAAGCCGGAGGGAGGTCAGATCTGGATGCAATGCAAGGAGGCGTGAAACCGCGGAATATCGAACGGCATTGGATCTCCTGAGCCTGGGCAAAACATAAAGTCACCCATCCTCTCAGGGATACAAGAGGGATACAAGAGGGAGGTGGAGCGCAGCTTTCGAATCCGTGCACAGTCTCCAATTCCACAGATTTTCGTGAAGGGCTGGCTTCCCCAAGTTGGCAAATTCCGGCATCAGCAAGCCCCGCCCACCTGATCACCGTGTCTGTGTAATCGCAGGGAAACTTGACTCAATGGCACCTTAGCCTGCTCCGCCTGCGAATATCCGGACATCCACCTCGGCTTTTCCTCTTAACGATGAAGATTTTGGCTCCGACCCGATTGCCAGGGGGTAGTTGGGGGGGTGGGGGTGCGGAGGGTCGGCCATGGGAGGGAGGTCAGAAAGTGTGGGGTGGAAAATGCAGTGCGCTGGGCACTTCCAACTATTGAGCTAGTGTCGTAGTTGCTGCGTAGCTTCCGACGAAACCTCATGAACAAAGGCTTATTTCTCCCTAGTCCCTGGCTCCTTTCCTTCCCTTCCCCTCTCTCTCCCTGTCACCCCTGCCGAACCTGAATCCTCTCCACCCATCCTCTCCTGTCCCCTCCTCTACCCTTCCCGAACCCGCTCACCCCACTCCCAGAATACCTCCAAAACTCCAATGGAGGTTTTGGAGTCAGCTTCTGGAGTTTACCTCCCCTGACCTTCTACTCCCCTTCCCCAAACACATACAATCCCAACGTCTAACCAGTCCTGTGCTCAATTGGACGGGGTGTATGGGGGGTGTTGGTGTGCAAGAAGAGAGGGAGAGTAAGACTCCTGATGCATTAAAGTTTGGCTAACCCCTTTCCCCCAATAATTGCCAATATTTTGCGAGTCAACAATCCCCCAAAAATAAAAGTGTTGAAATCTTTCTTCTAAATTTCCTGCTGGGTTCCTCCCCATTAGTCTGGAGTCTCTGGTCCAATTTTTATCTCCCGTTGCCAAGGTGGGAAAACAAGCCTGAACCACTAGGCCCCAGTTCTGCCTGAATGATCCCTTTTTATATAAATTAGAAGCAGTGTTTTAAATCAGATATTCAATGAAATAATAAATGATCTCGGGAGGAGTATGAGACGAAAGGGCCCCAGTTTCGCAAAGGGGGAGGTGGCACTTCATACAGGTCACTCCAATGTGAAGGCTGCAAGTAACATTAGGCCCAACTGCCAGGGCTGTGCAGGAGGGCAGGCTGCGCACAGGCACCGAGGAACGGGTAGGAACTGAGGAGGGAGAAGGCGAGGGAGGAATGACGGATGAGGGCACATCGAGAAGGGGGGGGCATAAGCAGAGAGAAGGGTAGGGGGGACAGAGGTAAGTGTGGCGGGGAAAGAGAATGGGGGGGGGAAATATGGACGTGAGGGGGTAAAACTGAGCAGGAGATAGAGAAGGATTGGGAATGGGAACGAATTGGAGGGAATTGGGATTGGGAATGGGAACAAATTGGAGGGGATTAGGAACGGGAACAAATTGGAGGGGATTGGGATTGGGAACGGGAACACATTAGAGGGCATTGGGATTGGAAACAAATTGGAGGGGAATGGAATCGGAACAAATTGGAGGGGATTGGGATTGGGATATAGGATGCTATGGGAGCCAGACTAAAAGAGGGATTGGGACACAGGATACCATGGGAACCAGGCTAACACAGGGATCGGGATTGGGATCCAGGGCACCATGGGAACCAGGCTAACACAGGGATCGGGATTAGGGTGCAGGTTGCCAAGGGGACCAGGCTAAGAGGGATCGAGACCGGGGAGAGCGACAGTGAGCTGACAACGGGAACGGGTCCCTCCACATTCGGAGCCGTGACGGGAATCTCGAGGCAGCTCCTGCATTCCCGGCCGCCTGTCCCGCTCCCCACTCCCTGGGCGAACAGCCACATTAGGTGTTCTCCGAACCTGAGGGAAAACAAAAAGAGACGAGAAAGTTAATGCACGGACAAAAAGGTGAGAAACTTCCCGAAGGCAGGAGCAGATGGACAAGCCAAATCAGAACCAGCGGACACCTTCGCACATCCCAATCCTGGCCTGTCCACATCCACGCCACAAAAAGGTGCAAAACTTCCTCTGGCACAATGAAATTGAGATCGTCCCCAGGACAAGGGAGCTCAGCTTAAAATGATATCAATTTACCGTTAAATTTCCCTCCCAAACACTGCCCCAGACCCCTACACCCCCTCCCTATCTCTGTCAACACCTCCAGCCCCTACACCCCCTCCCTATCTCTGTCACCCCCCCCCAGCCCCCTACACCCCCTCCCTATCTCTGTCACCCCCTCCAGCCCCCTACACCCCCTCCCTATCTCTGTCAGCCTCTTCAGTATCTTCCGATTCCTCCCATCGCAGTGCCTTCATTTGTCTGTGGGGGAGCCTGTTCTCCTGACTTCCCTCCGTAAATATCTCCATCTCTCTTCCCCCCACACTCCCTCCACCGCCGCAACCTCTTGGGCTGTGTTTCTCTTTCACCTGAAGCATGCCCTGATCCAAACTCCAACGGTGTTGACCCTACTTTTGCGCCCTTCGCTTTCTGCGGGCGGCTATAACAATGCAGTAATGTAAGGCAGGGCAGCGTGGGTGACTCCCTACCCACTGCCGGTCACGGCCTCTGGTCGGGTGTTTGGACTCGCCGGGCCTTTGACCCATTGGTTGGCCAATGGGATGGCGAGCTTTCTGGGAGGCGGGAAGGCGGCACCTCCGCTCCCTTCAGACTCTGCCACGTTCAGTGGGGGGTTTTTTTGGCGCAATGGGCGACCCGGCTTGCATGCTGCCGCTTTGGTGAGTTTGCCAGAGGTCCTTGGGGTGCCGCATGGAGTTGGCAGCACAGCTGACAGTGCCCAGCCTCCGCCCTCTTTTGGGGCGGGGGGGTGGGGTTGCGGTTGGTTCCCTGGGCTGGCCGCTCCCCTACAAGTTCGATCATTCCCCGGATGTGGGCGTCGCTGGCAGTGCCCGTCCCTACTTGCTCCCTTGAGAAGGTGGGGGTGGTGAGCTGCCTTCTTGAACCGCTGCAGTCCTCCTGCTGTGGATTAACCCACAACGACCCTCAGGGAGGGAATTCCAGGATTGTGACCCAGCGACACTGAAGGAACGGGGATATATTTCCAAGCCAGGATGGTGAGTGTCTTGGAGGGGAACTTGAAGGGGGTGGCGTTCCCATATACCTGCTGCTCTTGTCCTTCTAGATGGAAGTGGTCATGGGTTTGGAAGGTGCTGTCTGAGGATCTTTGGTGAATTTCTGCAGGGCATCTTGTAGATAGTATACACTGCTGCTACTGAGCGTCGGTGGTGGAGGGAGCGAATGCTTGTGGATGTAGTGCCAAACAATTGGGCTGCTTTGTCCTGGATGGTGTCAAGCTTCTTGAATGTTGTTGGGGGCTGCACCCATCCAGGCAAGTGGGGAGTATTCCCCCACACTCCTGACTTGTGCCCTGTAGATGGTGGGACAGGTTTTGAGGAGTTAGGAGGTGTGTACCCTTTCAGTATTCCCAGCTTCTGACCTGCTCTTGTAGCCGCTGTGTTTATGTGGTGAGTCCAGTTGAGTTTTTGGTCAATGGTAAGCCTCATGATGTTGATAGTGGGGGATTCAGTGATGGTAACACCATTGAATGTCTAGGGACGGTGGTTAGATTGTCTCTTATTGGTGATGGGCATAGCCTGGCATTTGTGTGGCACGAATGTCACTTGCCACTTGTCAGCCCCAAGCCTTGATCTTGTCCAGATCTTGTTGCATGTGAACATGGACTGCTTCAGTACCTGAGGAGTCACGAATGGTGCTGAACATTGTGCAATCATCAGCGAACATCCCCCACCTCTGACCTTACGATGGAGGGAAGGTCATTGATGAAGCAGCTGAAGACGGTTGGGCTTAGGACACTACCCTGAGGAACTCCTGCAGAGATGGCCTGGAGCTGAGATGACTGACCTCCCACAACCATGACCATCTTCCTCTGTGCCAGGTATGACCCCAACCACCGGAGAGTTTGCCCCCCGATACCCACTGATTCCAGTTTTGCTAGCGATCGACCCTTAAGCATGTCCTCCTAATCACAACTGACCCTTGAAGGGGAGGGTGGAGGAGTTGGGGGTTGGGGGAAGAGGGGCAGAGGACCGGGCAGAATGAGGTCAAGGTGACATACCATGGGAAAAGGCAGTCGTCTTAAAGATCTACAGCACAGAGTAAAGGGCCCTTCGGCCCATCAAAACACCCACCTATCTACTCTACTCCCATTTCCCAGCCCTTCGCCCATACACATCTATGCCTTGGCTGCGCAAGTGCATATCTAAATCCTTCTTCAACGTGATGAGAGTTTCTGCCCTTCCCACCCTTACAAGCAGCGGGTTCCAGATACCCCCTTCCACCACCGTCTGGGTGAAAAAAACACTTCAACTCACATTCCCTCGAAACCTCCAGCTCCCTTCACCTTCAATCTGTGTTCTCCCAGCCATTCAAACTCCACCGAAAAGGGAAAAGTCTTTTCCTGCCTTACCACACCGACACCCCTCTTAATTTCATACATCTCCATCATTTCCCCCACCCTCCTCAATCCTCTCAGCTCTAAGGAAAACAGCCTCAGTCTGTCCGGTCTCTCTACATCACTGAAACTCTTCAACCCCATCCTGAAAAATCTCTCCAGCCCCAGAGGCAACGTCCTGGTAAATCTCCTCAGCATCCCACCCCCCTACCCCTCCAGTGCTATCCCATTCCTACTATAACGTGGATTACAGAACAGCACACACAATACTGTAGCCTGATCGCAGTTTCAGCATCCCCTCCCCGTTCTGAAACTCTACACCTCAGTAGCTGGGAACCCTTCACCCACGCTTGCATACCCCACCCCCCACACCACCCCCTACACCCAGCCACCCTGCAATCTGCAACCACTATGCCCAACTCACCTGTGGGAGCTGGCGCGTGCTGACGCCCCTTTATTTTTGGGAACAACAGGTAGGCATCATAGCCGAAGAGAGCGCCAGCAAATAGCCCAAAGACCTGGAACAGAGAGGAGAGACTGTGAGCGAGAGAGGGAGAGGCAGACGGAGAAATAGAAGGCAGGCTCAAGCGACAGAGGCAGAGGGAGAGGGAGAGAGAGTGAGTGAGTGAGTGAGAGACACGGAGAGAGAAATGGAGGGAGGAAGAGCAGCGGGGAGACAGAAAGACCGAGGCGATGGAGAAAGAGAAAACAAAAGGCAAGAGAGAGAAAGGTAGAGTGATAGAGGCGAGACAAAGCGATAAAGAATGATAGAGAGGAGCGAGATGTGGAGAGACAAATTCCATTGTAACAGAAACACTTAGCCAGGTTTTTTGCACTCACCAAGGCAATCCCTCACTCACTATTCGAGGGTCGGCGTCGAGGGAGTGAGCGCTGTCGGAGGGTCAGCACCGAGAGGGAGCGGGCGCTGTCGGAGGGTCGGTACCGAGGGGAGTGGGCACTGTCGGAGGGTCGGCGCTGAGGGGAGCAGGCACTGTCGGAGGGTCGGCGCCGAGAGAGCGGGCGCTGTTGGAGGAGGGGCTTCTCACATTTCTGATGAAACTGAAAGTCTTTCTGTTCACTTAGTTTAAAGCTTTGCCTGTCTTGTACAATATCTCGATCCCCAAACAACACGGACCAGATCAGTGCGATAAACACTCACCCCAGCAGCAATCCGAGCTCCGTCATGGCTTATGAGAGCAATAATGGAAATAACAGCGAGGACAACAACTGCAATCACACAGCGGAAAAAATCCTGAAACAGAACAAGGCATTTAAGGGATTGGAGGAGCATTGTCAGCTGTACACAGGCTCACAGCCGTACTGTCACTGTGAGTGGCATCGAAATTAACACTGACACACACACACGGGCACAGAGGCAGACACACAGACAGACACACAC